TCTCCGATTGTATCGAATACCGACCTAATGGATTTATTTTTCCCCAACCTAATATTTTCTTCTTTATATGACAACTTCATATTCCAATTGTTATCTATTTATTTTTATAATTTTTAATATTACTCCATATACGGTATTCTACATTATATTTACGACAACCGCAAATTTTGTACGATTTGTTTTGTCATATCTATTAACACAGTTTGCGGCCGGCAGACCACAACACGTTTTATGTGCCGGTTGTCGGTGAATTATGTTGCGACTTCCCCAAGTTCGATGTTCGTTTGCAGTTCGTTCGTTCGCATGGCAAAAAATCAGGTTTGATTGGGGTGTTCTCGCGTCGTTGATTGTTCGTCGGTCGTGTTGTGTGTTGTTGGCTGGCTGGTTCGCTGTTATCTCGCGTGCTATGTTGTCGTTCGTTGTGTCTCGTCGCGTCGTCGTAAATTGTTTTGGTTTGGTATGCATTCTTCTCATGTGTGGCGGCGACGGCGGCTCTGTTTCGTGTGTAAAACGTTTTAGTTTAACAGTTCATGCCGATGAGTCAAGGTCGAGAGACCGACCGTATAATACAACGTCACGTAACGTCAGCGAATTATAATTTTTGTTTTCTTTTTTGCTGGTACTTGCTACTAGTTGTTGTTGGTGTTGATTCTGTTGTTGTATGCTTTATGAAATAGACTCATACAGAAAAAATTTCGTTTTCAATTCACACCGATGTTTGTTTGATGAAGATGGTGATGATGAGCGCAGGCATGATATTCGGGCAAGTGAATGTGCACACATGAGGGAGTGTGAATGTGTTGTGTGTGTGTATGTGCGAGTTGTGTGTTTTTTTATTTGGGGGGATAAGTGTAGTATGGGGATGGATTTTCGTTTGTTTTTGTTTTACTCGCCCATATATGAAGATGGACTACGCGAGAAGACGACGTGCGATGGAGTAATTTGTGTGTTATGTTTGCACAGATAACGATACGGCAAACGACGATGATGGACGGACGGACGGACTGACAAATCAACCAACAAAAAATAATGAACAACGAATTAAACGACGACAGCGAACACTTTTTTGTACACATATTTTTAGTTACGGGAATGGAATATTTTTAGAATATTTTCATTTTTGTTGTTGTGTGTTTTCGTTGTTTTCTTTCTTTTTCACTGCGCTGCGCTATTTACACAAAGAATTCAAACACACAATAAAAACTAGTTGGTGTTTTTCTTATTGTTGTCGTTGTTGTTGTTATTGTTGATTTTGTGATAAAGTGAAATACATACCTAACTACCTACTCGAGACGAATACATTGCCTACACTCTGGGCGAATGATTTTGGCTACGTAAAGTGTAATTTCTTTTTAATAGAATATCCAGAGAAGGAGGAGAAGGAAAGGAGAGGAGAACAACAAACAAAGGAACAACAGAAAAAAAGTAATTGAACAGTGGGGACTTTTTCTCCACCACTTTTATCAGTTGATAATTTACACATTAGTTCTTGAATAATATATATTTAAAGGTTGTAGATTTTTTAAAATAAATATTCCAAAGAAAATGCAGTAATAGCGGTTGGTAATTCAATTATTGAAATTTTCAATGGTATCATTTGGCATCATTACAAAAAAGGAAAATTTTTAGGTGAAATTTTACAATTAGGCTACAGAAGTACGCAGATCATGATTTCTGATGGAACAACATAAAAAATCAAGAAGAGTCAGAGATGAAACCAAATCAACTAAAACGAAATTAAAACAAAAATTTAACCTTGAAGTTCATACATGTACAATCAGGACTTTTGCTGCAACTTAAGTGGCGTTCATTTAAAGTGGTTCGAAAACCTAATACGGATTATAATCCATAAAATATTTTAACCACAGTAAAATATGGAGATGCGGAAATAAATGTTTAGGGTTTCTTTTCATACTATGGCACTGGCCCTTTATATTGTATAAAGGGGAAAATGGATGCCCAAATGTATGTCGACATCCTTGAGAAAGTTAAGAAACACTATGCTGAGTGGAACATGCCTTTAAAGTGGGTTTTTTTCAAAACGATAATGACCCGAAGCATACTAGCAGAGCTGCCAAGGCCTGGCTTTTGAATAATGCAATTAGATGTTATGGACTGGCTTGCCCAATCTCCCGACCTCATTCACATTCAAAAGTTATGGACGGATGTTAAAGATGCCGTTTACAATGCTAGACCCAGAAATGAATAAGATTTGTTCATTTGGAAAAATATTCCTGTAGAGGGATGTCAAAATTTAGTAAACTCAATGGCACGACGGTGCAATGTTGTAATAAAAAACAAAGGATATTCTACTAAATACTAGCCATAGATATGAAGTGTATAACATTTGACGCAGGAAAAAAATATTACCTGGATTTACCTAATATAGAAATGAACTGCAATTTTTTTTTTTTTTTTTGCACTGACAGCGTTTTCAACATAATAAAGTCCAATACCATTGTTGTCCCTTGCTTCACAGTGCTGGGGCCCGAGTCATTGTACCCTCAGTCGTATGATTAATGAGGGAATATACACTTTGACACGAAAAACTGTGCCTCGTCGAAATATTGTTTTTGGATATGTTGCTTCTATGGACCAAATGCTTTTCAGGCAATTTTGAGTCGATTAACAAATGGCCGTCCGTCTAGCCGGCTGGTGCGCATGATGGCGAATGGAATATCCGATTTCAAACAAACTTTGCAAAAACTATTTCCTTTACCAAGCCTAGATCAAGTTCGACGATGGGGCCCATTTGGCCTACTCCGTCTGGTACTACTTATACAATTTTTATTAGGCGAATGAAAAGTCCGTTTTGAAACAAACTTTGCATAACCTATTACTTTACCCCTAAAAGGGGCGACTATTAATACATTTTTGTAGGGAGATTTGTTACCATATGCGAGTACAAAATACCAAAACTCCAAACGAAAATTTGGGGTACCCCATATATGAGGGCTATACGAAAAAATTGACCTATACTTATAATTTTTAGTGAAGATATTTGTGGTACCCAATAAGAACCCATTGTACCTAATTTCAGCGAATTTGGTTGGAAAACGCGCTTTAAAACCCCAAAATACCGAAAATGGGGAGGGGGATCCGTTATATGGGGGCTACCCGAAAAAATCGACCTATATTTAAAAGCGAACTCAAAAACCCCAAAATACCGAAAATTGGGGGTACCCTTATATGGTGGGCTATGCCTAAACGTGGACCCATATTCGAACTTGATCTGACTGCAGACGCTAGAATGGTATAGACGCTAGAATAGTTACAACAGACAGACGGGCATGCAAACAAATTTGACAAATTGGCAAATTTGACTTTATTGACAATACTGTAAAAATAATTAACTAATACAATTTATCATATGTTTTGGTATTAGTTTTTTTTTTTAATTAAGTATCAGAGGACAATAACCAGCCAAAAATGTATCTTTTGAATAAGTACTAAGATGCAGGTTCTAAACAAAACTAGTCGAAATTGCCTCAGTATCTCCTATAACGGTTAATCAAATATACCATTAAAGAATAATGCCATCGCTTCAATTTCACTAGACCTTAAAACGCTTCTAAATTTAAAAGTCATAAAACAGGGTTTGGTTTCGATGTAGAGAACCAGACAAGAAATGCCTAATGGTTACTTAGTGGAATTGCAAATAAAAAATCCACATTTACATTTACTTTCACACGACGACAACAGAGGAAAATATAACGACATTTAAGACGGCGGAACCCAAACCACCTCTACACTAAACAACACTCGACGACTACCTTACATGGCAACAAAACAAAAAAAAATTTTGAAATGTAGATAGGTATTACAATAGTAACAACACAACAGTGATATAAAAAATATAAAAATTTATATCTGAAGAAAAAAAACTAACAACTGCAAAACTACCTTGGTAAAAAAAATTTCTGCACAATAGAGAGTTGGCAAATTTTTCGCAATGTTAAAGTAAAGGTTTTTTTTTTGTTTTTATATGCCTTGCATGAATTAGTCTAATAAAAAATAATACATACATACAAACAACAACGAGCAAAAAAATTAAATACAACAGATGATGATGTCTATTTGGCGTTTGAGGTTACATGAAGAAATTATTTTTTTTTTTTTGGTTTTCCATTTGATGTTTATTACACACAAATAAATGTACATAGGCGAGGTGGTATATAAGAGTCTTATATACTACATTATTTTTTTTCAATTTGTTTCATATCTCCTCCTTATGGTTGGTATTTTTTATCGCGTTTTGTGTTTGCTCTAATTTTTTTCTTTATTTTCTTGTTAAATTCACATTATCATAATGTGAAACAAAAAACAACAAAAACAGAGCGGAGCAACCAACAACAATAAAAAACTCATTGTGTTTTCTTTGTTTTTATTGTGTGGATGTGTGGATGTGTGTCTCTCACTCTCGCCGCCCTCCTTTCTAATGCATTCTCGTCGTCGGTTCGTACGTTCGTTTGTCGTTATGGAATATTTTCGTTGTTTCTCGTGTTTTCTTCTTCTCTACTATTTTTTTCTTTTCAGGAGCCATATATTTATCATGAATAAAAGAAAAAAGGGGGAGAGAGCAAGATAAAATATTATGTGTCATAATATTGTTTTTTGTTGTTGTAAATGCAATTTTCTTTCCTTTTATTTCTATATTTTTTCTGTGTGTGCTTTAAAAACCCCTAAAGACCGTAGAAAAAAAGGAGTAAAAGAAACGCACGTGCTACTAATTTATACAACACTGGAGAGTAAGAAGAATACAAAAACACACAATTTCTTCTCTGTGGGGCTCTCTTGAAATCTCACTTCGACTTTGGTGCTGCTCGCAGTGTTTTTTTTGTTTTTGAACTACAATTGTTTACAATTTGCTATTTTTGTTGTTGTTTTTTATATTTTATTTTTTAGATGGTGTTTAATAAAATCCTCCGGTCATGAACATTTTTGTCCATTGCATTTTATCAATTTTCCTTTATTTTTTCATTTTTTGTTATAGTACTTACTCTTTGTTGAACATAAAGATTTTGTTGTTGCTGCTGTTGTTGTTGATGATGGTGATGAAGATTGTTGTGTTGTTGTTGCTGTTGTTTTCTATTCCTTTTTGTGGTTGTATTGTTTGTTGTAGTTGTCGTTAGGGGATTAATATAATTGACATTTGCTGTTGTTGTAGTTGTTATTAAACCGGCAGCAGCTGCAGCAGCTGTAAAATCTGTTGTCGATCTCTTACGAGTCCTTTTACTTGTTGTAGTTCTTGTATTGTTGTTATTGTTATTATTGTTTGTTAAACTTTTACCCGATATGGTGTTTGTGTTCGATGATGCTGCTGCTGTTGTTGCTTGTATAACAACCATAGGATTTGTTGTTTGATGATGATATTTGGCAAAATTTCGATGTGCTGAACTTTCTGTTATTGTTGAAGTCTCAATTAGCGACATTGGCAAAGTGAGAGACATTGGGTTTTTTGTGTTTTGTCAAGTTTTGTTTGTTTGTGCTTGCTTCTTTGTTGAGACTAAAAACCACACATTCACTATTCACCACACAGAGAGGAGAGGAAGTCTCGAGAGCTTAGTTCTCGTGTTATAACAGTTTCCTCTTCTTCTTCTACTATTCTATCAACAAAGGGAAAACACACGACGGGGCTACACAAACACTGTTGTTGCACTCGCGTATAGGAAACAAACACACACACTTTCTCTCTCTGTCTATCACTCACTGCAGTGGCTGACTGGCTCTCTGTTAACAAATGAGCAGCAGCAGCACTGTTATTGTTTTTGTGTGTATTTTGTACGGGAGGGTTTTGTTTATTTTTTTGCGTTGTATTTGAAATGCATTTTTCTATGATGGTTTGTTGTTGTTGTTACTGTAAACACAATGACTGTGTGTGTGTTGTGTTACGATTATTTTTTGCTGACACTGTTAAGTGTATGAGTATTTTAAAAGAGTGCTGTTGCCGTTGTTGTTATTATTATTATTATTTTTTCCTTGTTGTTGCTGTGGGTACGAGAGAAGAGCCCATAGAGTACAATGTTGGATTATAAACAGCTGTTTTCCGATGATGATGACGACGACCGGCTTTATTGACAGCTGCTAATAATGTTCGTCGGCTGCTGCTGCTGACACCACCACTACTGCTGTTATGTTGCCTTCTGGTCGTTTTAATTTTTGCTGTAGTTCTCGTTGTTGTTGTTGTATACATACAAACGACCGCAACGACGACGTTCATTTGGTTTTTGGTTTGTTCGTTGTTGCTCGCGCTATATACAAAATATATGTATACCACTTATGTATTTAATGTAGGTATATAAGTGAAGAAAAAAAACACTTTTTTCTATATACGTTTGTATTCCGTACATGTGTACATTATTTTTTTTATATATGTATATACTGTGCACTACACTAGATGTTAATTTGTTTATTTAATTTGCGTTTTTTTTTACTTTTCACATTTATATATGGTAATTATGTGTATTTTTTGCTGTTGTTGTTTTGGTATGTACTTCTTCTTCTTTACATTCTCAGCACTAAAATTAAATTGATTTTCGTTATTTTTTTTAATAAAAACTTATAACAACAATAAAATCAAAATAAAATTTATTAATTTTTAATAAATCCCAATATGTGTGGCGTTGACAACCGATGACAGACAATAACAAAAATAATTTGTTATTGTTTCTGTTGTTGTTATTTTTGTTGTGGTGACAACCGTTGGTGGTGATGATGATGAAGTTTTTTTATTCGAATTGCTGCCTTTGTCTGACATTTGCATTATTATAATTTTGTTTTAATTGTTAATCCGTAAACAATAAATAAATTGTGAAATGATGGATATTTGTTTTTTATTTCAAGTAATTTTGCACATTTAATTTGTATTAAAAAATTAATTCATTTTTTGCAATATCTTTAATTTCCATAATTTATTTTCATTAAAGTTTCACTTAAATATTTTTTTGTTTGTTTCAAAAATTTACTTTTTTCCATGCAGTTGAATATTTAAATTTTTTCTATTAATTTATTTTTTTGCACAATTTGTTTTTCTTCTATTTTGTGTTATTTGTTTCTGGTTTGCCTGGCTGACTGCCTGCCTGCCTGATTTTGTATTCTTTCATAGATGTGTGTCTGCTGCTCTTTGGATATTTTTTATTTGTGTTGTAGTAATAATTGTAAGAGTATCACACACAATTGGGAGCACCGTCGCACACAACCCGAAGCAAGCAAAAAACCAAGAAGAAATACAACACTCGAAAAATTAAAAACACGTCACGTTTGTAAGTCGGAACATTTAGCACTGTTGTTGTGTGGTTGTAGTTGCTGTTAAGTCAGTGCCTTAGACACCGTAACCAACAAAACAGCCATCAACAACAACAACAAAACAAAATCAAACAAACATTCAGACACACACACACACGAACACATATGATTCGTAGTCGTCGTCGACGTCGCAACAGAGTATTCCCTCGTCTGTTTGGTTCGTTGTCGTCGTCATCATCATCGTCAAACAGCAACAACAACAAAAAGAATATCACCAAACATCAGTTGTGGAACACACAACCCGACACACTTACTCGCCACCACCAGTGTGTGTGCGAGTGTGTTTATGTGAATAAAAGGAGAGCTTCGTCGTCGTCGCTCAGCACTTTATTTTGTTATTGCTCCTGTTAATTTTGTTGTTGTTGTTCTGTTATTATTTTTATTGCTTTGTAGTTTTGTTATTTTTTTACTTTGTTGTTGCTGTTTTTATTTTCTGTTACTCTTAAAGGTAATAATAAAGTCCGCCGCATACAACAAAATCCCCAAAAAGCCAGTGCTCACAAAATGAAACAGAAAAAAACACCAACAAAAATAGCAGAAGCAAAAAAAATTGTAATACACTTTAATAATTGATGTTGGATGGTTGTCGGTTCGTTGGTTGGTTGGCTGGTTCGTTTGTTGGCTAGCTGCTAACTAGCTTGACTTAACTGACTGACTGAATTTTTCCTGAGCCTTCTCAATATAATCCTACTCTCGGCGTGATGTTTATCTTCTCGGCAGTTTGTATGTCATACCAACCATAAGCAATGTCGCATGTTTATAAGTATGGATGGATGTAGGCACGTAAATATGTAAAAATGTGTATGAACCCCTTTTCTTCACACAACACAAATTATAGTTAGGTTTGATTGTCGAATGTCGTTGTCGTGGTCGCAACCAAATCCATGCAGGCAAACACATTCTGCCAATATTTGTCGTACAACACAACAGATTGACTGACGCACAGACAGACAGAACGACAAAAGAATGTCAGTTTTTAATTTAATGTAGATATGTATGTAGGAGTTTGTATGTTTATGGCAAGAATATGTCTGTTCGTTTGTCAGTCAGTTGGTCGGTTCGTTTATATGTCGTTCTATCTGTTTGGGTCCATTCTTGTTTGATAAAGAAGCAATAATACACCACACATTTAAATTGTGGGTTCTTTTCTTCTACTTAATTTTGTTATATTTTCCATCTTCCTCTTCTTCCTTCCTTTTATTTTTAAGCCGAGTCATTGCGGAGGATTTGTGAGTGGCGGATAGAAATTATTTAACTAGTGGTGCTAAGCGGAATTTTAGGTATTAAAGCAGCAACAGCAAGGTTGGACAAATTGGAAGATTATTTTTATATCAATAAAAGTATTTCGATATGTAATGGATTTAAAGAAGGTCATCGATTAGGGAAAAATCTGAATAGGTCTACTTCATCTTAGAGGGTGACAGACAAAATATTAGGATTCTTAAAAATCAACATATATATTTTTTTTAATTTCACCTTTAAAAAACTGAAATATACACTCCGAAAAAATTTTGAAAAATTACACTCAGAAAAATTTAATAAACGCTAAGAGCAAAAAATTAGACTGAAAAAAATCGTAAAAATTAAACTTAGGAAAAAACTCAAATATACAAGAAGTAGACCATTGGGTCCCATTTTCGGACTTGATCAGGGCTTGGCAAATATAATAGGCTGTGCAGAGTTTGGTTAAAATCGGATAGTCCGTTCGCCTAATAAGGAATAAATTATTGAAATCTTTGCCTATTTGTAGGCAGGTACTAGAAGGGTTGGAGCGATATTCAGCACATTACTACGTTAACTAAGTTCGGATAAATCGACTCCAAATTGAAACAAATTTTTAAAATACCTCAGAAAATCTTTAAAAAAAATCAACGCTGAGATAAAACGAGTACGCTTAGAAAAAATTGAAAATCTAGGCAAAAAAATCTTAAAAGTTACACTTAGAAAAAATTAAAATAATGTCCAGAAAAAATAAAAATCTAGGCAGAAATTACACTCAGAAAAAAAAATAAAATATATGCTCAAAAAAACTACACTCAAAAAATATTTTAAAAATTGAACATACATAGAAAAAAATATGTTAAAAAATCTACGCTCAAAAAAAATCTCAAAAGCTGATCTAAAAAAAAAAGAAAAATAAATAAATAACATATAAAAAATAAAAATAGGGGATGAAATTACACTCAGAAAAATATATGCGCAAAAAATTAATTTCAAAAACTACACTGAAAAAATATTTTAAAATGTATACTCAGAAAAAATATTTTAAAAAATCTACGCTCAGAGTTGGTTTTAAATATCTTTGCCTATTTTTTTTAACATCTACCTTCAGATTTTTTTTGACTACGCTCAAAAAAATCTTTAAGAAAATCTAAACAGAAATATTTGTAAAAATAAGCGCTCTGAATTTCATTGTTAAATATCTACGCTCAGAAAATAATCTTTAGTGTCCTAAGTAACGTCTATACATACATATACATATACATATACATATATCCTAGATGTGTGTTAATTTTTATGAAAATCGGTTCAGATGTAGATATAGCTCCCACATATATCTTCGTCCGATTTTATGTAAATGGTGCACTAAAGTCCCTTTTTGTCGTTCGATTTGCACGAAATGTGCCATAGAGTACTGAACTGAGTGTAGAATGATGTGTGTTAAGTTTCGTGAAAATCGGTTCAGATGTAGATGTAGCTCCCACATATATCTTCGTCCGATTTATGTAAATGGAGCACTAAAGTCCCTATATATCCTTCGCTTTGCAGGAAATTTGGCATAGC